ATTGGTCACAGGAAGACGGATGCCTACGCCTTGTTTACGAACAAGTGGCAAGGGTCCAAGTTTGGCTCTTTTGGAAGATGAAATGAGAGCGTATGTCACGTACATGGCCAATTTCCATAAAAATTGTCCACATATGTTTCTGACAGGCAAAGGAAAGAAGAGGTGCAGGAGAAGCTCGATGAGCAAAAAAGGAGCACAGTGCAACCTGGGGACAAGGTGTTCGTGAAGGTCTTTAGGAGGAAGTGGTATAACGAACGCCGTGAGGGACCATTTGAAGTGGTTCGTAGTACTGGAACAGCTGTCCAGGTTAGAGGGTCTCCAACGTGGTATCATTTATCACATTGTGTTAAAGCGCCTAGTGAAGAGGTGCCGCGGGTGGATAGCCAAGATGGTGAAGGCTCAAGAGAGCTGGATGACAATAGGGAAGAACAGGCAGAAGGAGAGATGCATGACAACATCCAGAACCAAAACCCAGAAGGGGATATTGTCCATTCAGTGGACAATGTTGGTAATCATGTGCACACTTTTGATGATGCCAGATATGACTCTGCAATTGATGGAGAGGAAAGGAGATTTGGGGACATTGGTTTTCAATATGTCCCAGAATCAGCAGGGCCATTTCAGTGGAAGGGGAAGTCGCAGAGGTCACCAAGGGCTGCACCTCTGTTACAGGAGAAGCCAGTGTTCCACTTAGACAAACAGCCCCAGACCAGTTCGGAAAAGAGTCAGACCAAAACGATACGAAAACTAGAATTGAAGCACCTCTAGGAAAGTCAACAACAGTTTCTAAAGTATAAATGTAACACATTTGACTACAGTAGCGCCTCAGATGATTTCATCAACGCCAACTTCATTGTCTACGGTGGTTAAGGTTAAGTTTGGAGGTTCGGCATATCTTCCCTGTAAATGTGAGAAATGGAATACGGGTGGTAATGTACCTCCCAAGTGGTTAAATAGTCGCGGTAAAGATGTGTTGTTATCAGGACTGGAGGGTGTACCCCCTAGTCAAAGAAAGTTTCTCTGCTTAATGATATGAGGCGGTGGAAAATTGTTGGTGACTGTTCACTTGTTTTGCGTAATGCTACCGGGAAGACTTAGGGGAATATAGTTGTACGTATTTAAAGCCAGATTTTAAATTTGTTCCGTTTCAAAATTATTGGATACAAGGTTATGTGACCCGTAAGGTGACGCTTATGATGAAAGATTTAGAGCCTGGTGAAGTGACAACAGTCACCAAAGGAGTTCAGGAGCAGTATCCTACAGTAGTCACTCCAAGAGTGAATAATACACAGAGAACAGTTGTCATTGGGCCCTTGGAAACAACTGAAAGAGTTAATACATCAACTAATGTGATTGTTTTAGCAGAAACTGTGGAAGAAATGAATGTTACAGAGGCGATAACAACCATTGTAAATATGACACAGACACCGACTACAATTTTCGGGAAGTAAAGGAGTTGGTAGACGTAACTCAGAAGCCTGCGTTACAGATGAGATTGGGGAGCAAAGAATGCAAGAAAAGGATGAGGAGTCATCTGAAACCGTCAGAATATTATCCCACATGTACCAAATGAGTTTTTGATAAAATACCAGAAGATATGACTGATCAATATCGCTCGTTACAGAAGAGGGAAGCTACATGGAAGGCATATGGGTTTGATTCTTCTGTTTTGAAAATTACAGATGGCTGGGCAGGTAGGAATTTATGGTTCCAGCAGTTAACTCATTCTGTAAGATCAGTTAAGAAATTAGATGGTCCATGTCTGTTGAAAGTTCCCGCACCAGGCACGTGGGATTCAATTTTAGAGACAGTGGCCCAACCTCTATCCGTTATGTGTCAATCTTATGCTTTATCATGGCTGTCGTATCAGCAACAATCGTCAACAGATATAGTGATGTCGTGGTCGTCGCAGTTGTTTAGACCTAGACTTAATTGTTCTTGGATAAATGAATTACCCTATGTGAATTTGTTAGATCAGAAGGAAAATAAGTTAACGGCAATTCCTGAAGCAATGGAGGTAAGACCTGTGAGGGCTAGTAGCTGTTTTTGCTCAAATAAGACGTATGATGGGCCAGGGATGTTTATGGGAATATCAGAGTGTGATGAGTATATGATGTCTTTGGATAAGCATGACCGTAAGGTTAGAGGAAACACATACGAAGTAACTTTTGCTGTGCCATCTAGTAAGAAGGGAAGGACTTTGATGGTAAGAGATCAGCTTTTGCCTGGCAATGTGACGATAGGGAATTTTCAAGATATTTGGTGGGTTTGTGGTGATAAGGCATATATATTCTTACCTTATGGATGGATAGGATGTTGTTACATGGCGACGCTAAAACTTCCGTATGAGGTGTTTACAATCCATAAAGGGGAGACACCTGCTATAGCTCATTCTGATCCGGGGGTCGGAAATAGGGTGAAAAGGAGCATGGCACAATTTCATAATCTTGAAGCCTACCATTGGAGGATAAGTCTAGGTGAGAAGTGGGGACTTGGACTTTTTCCATGGTATGGTGTAACTTTTTGGCAGATCACATTGATAATATTACTTATACTTTGCAGGGATTTGCAAATGAAACTATACGAGGGTTTAATCTTCTGTCAAATACTCAAAGAAGTCACAGACTGACATTGTTGAAACATGACATGGCTCTTGACTATATTTTAGCCAAACAAGGAGGTTTGTGTGTGGCTATGAACTTGACGGGAGACGGTTGTTATACTTTGATCCCAGATAGTTCTGATAATATCACTAGTGTTATAGATGCATTAAAGAGTATAAGGGATGCGTTTGGTCAATCTGAGGGAGCTGGATGGTCAGCAAATACTTGGCTACAAAATCAGTTAGGACCAGTGGGAGCAGTGGTGGTTCAGATTTTGGTAGCAGCCTTTGTAGCGCTGTGTTTGATGTTTTGCTTTTGTACGGTGCTATTGACTTTTGCGAAAGCTATGATATTGAGATGGGTTGGAGTGGTAATGCCTGGGGAGAACACTCAGATGCCTTTGTTAACTATGGCTGATTAGATGGAGATGAAGGGGAACCAGATGAAGTAATGATGGAAAGATATCCATTTTAATGTTACTTTGTATTTTCATACATTGAGGTTTTAATTTTCATGTGTTATTTGCAACAAGATACTGGTTGGTGTTTTCTTTTCTTCCAGAGTATAAGGGGATGTACAGATGGGGATTCAAATACTCAAACAAGGACAGTATGAATGGACTCTGGACAAGGACGGTGTGGAAACGTCTGGATTGCATCGACACTGCTGAGGAGCTGCAGTGGAATACCTTCCTATGTCTACTTTGATATAGATATGAATACATATGTGAATGAATAATACTTAATTAACAATTATATTCTTTTTGTGTTAACTATGTAAAGACTTGTACTTTCACTTAGGGAGTTAATATTTGGGGACCTCAGGTTTTTTTCTTTTTCTTGATGCTTAGGGATATAGGGTCTAGGCAGGGAAAGGTCTGTTGGAGGGTCCGATGGGTTGACCAGCCTGAATTCGGACATGGTTTTGATTTGTTTAATTTCCTGAGGTTTTCACTGTATTGGCTAACCGTATTTCTGTATTGACTGATAAAGATGTCGTTCATTAATTGGACTGGAGTACCATGCGTGGCCGCCTAAGGCAGAGGGGCCGTGAGAAAATTTTCCTGTCTAGATTGTCTTGGAGGAATTTGGAATGAAGGCTGCCGGACAGGTTTTTCGTTCTCACACTCCATAAAGTTGATATGTTGTTAAAAATAATATGCTAGAAGTGTGTTTGGAGAAATTTCTCTCTTTTTGTTTTTCGAGACTCAATTAAGTCTCGTAGGGGGGAATATGTGGTGTATAACATATGCTTTTGACATTACAGTTTAATATAATGCTCTGCAGCTGGTGAAAGGAACAGTGAACCCTTATGAGGAAGTAATGATTGATGGGTGAACCAAGAGTGAACCCTCCTATAGAATTTGACCCCTGACCCAGAGCTGGAGAGAGACACAGTGGTAGGGGAAGTGGTGTCTAACAGATGGTTACACTTAGTCTACAGCACTGTGCCCTTATATGGTATTTAGCAGAGACCTAAACATGTCTTATATAAGCTGTGTTCAATGTACAGAGAGACAGAGTGGTTATCGGGCTGGGTCACTCTCCAAGCTGCTGCAGAGCTTGTAATTGATGCTGAATTCTTTGATGTAATAAACTTTTATAATCAAGAACAGTGTCAAGCGGATTTCTTCTCAACACATCATCGCAGCATTATCGTTCGGACACCACACTTTTAAAATAAATCAACTGACCAACATTTAATGATGTAAATGTATGACATTATGTTACAAGTTACAGGCACACAGTCTGTGCAAATACTTTTTGAAATCTTTTCTTAAGTATAACTGGAATTTATCTTTCAGACAAACATTTTGAATACTGCAAGCATGTTCAGTTATTTTATTTTTCTAAATAACACCTTGGATATTGCTTGTTACACATTTAATCAACACAGGGTTTTCCTTTGGGTGCTGCATTACATTTGGAGGTGTCTCTAATATTGTCATTGTCTTCCTCATGTACAGTGTGTACATGTCATTGTTTAAAAAAATCATTGAAATAGATTAAATACTATATGAAACCATCTACTCTCCATCTCAAAAGTAGAATCAACAGCTAAAACCATCTTACAAGCATCACACAAATACATTCTATCACAAAGATGTTGAATAGATTACACTTTACAGTTATACCTAATAAAGGTTGTCATTAACATTTAAATGCTTCATTTCACTGACGGATGGATGGATTTCACTGACTGAAATAATTAAACTCAGCTGGCTTTCATTTCAGTCTCCAAAAGAAAAGCTTCATGTAAACGGCTATGTTCAAATGTATTTCACAGAGCATTGCCGGACTTTTATCTTTTAAAGTTCTTCCATGATGATGGATCAGAAATCACACCTTTCAGCGTCTTTAACTAGAAGAAAAATATAAAATAAGACACCGAAATTTCTCGGGGGTGGCAAAAGAGTTTATTGCAAATATTTCAGTACAAGAACACAAACACCCATATAGTCTACTACTGCACCACAAGTCAAATAAGCAGACTATTCAAAAGTCTTTATCATTTAAAACATTAATGTCCTTTCTTGTAATCTTATTCTCTAGAGCCAAAAGAAAAACCTGGGTGTTTTTTAGTAGTGAAGTAGAAATTCCCTTGTAGGCGTTGGCCATATATTTGGGCAAAAAGTTGAAATACTTTGGTACAGGTCCAAGTGAGAGTTTGTAATAAGTAAATATATATCACTTTAACAATACATTTTAGTGTTGCTTGATTTTGAATGATACGTCTTGCAGATTAAGACAGTTTTCTGCTCACCTAAACCTGACCCAGTCCCCAACGTTTTAACTGGCCATCAGTGACTCCAGGTAGTTTCTGCCCATGTAGTACGGAGGTCTTTCATTGATCTTCTGAGGCCCTCCCTCTAACAGACCCACTGGAATATATCTGAGGGACAGGGATGGAGGGGGATAGAGAGAAACATCATCTTTATTTCCTCTCCAGTTCACTTTTCATTAAGTTTTCAATATGAAAGCCAGATAATGTTTGACAAGTTCTTTGGACCTAATTCACCGAGTGGTGCTGTGACAGAAGAGCATCCCATGTTCCCTAACAGGGATTTCATAGATCAGATTTCAAGTTCATATTTTAGTTTAAAACATTAACCATATATTCCTATTCAAGCAGCAGATGTGTGCTCTGTGAACCCAGGATATACGTATGGCAGGTTTCTATTTTGAGTCACATCTTGCAGCCATTTGGAGCCACTAGTATATGTAGTGACTTAATATAAATTTGTTCTTTATTAATACACATTTTGAATACGTATCAGATATCCCCACAGATTCAACACTGTTTAATGAGATGACTTACAACACCATGACCAACAGTGGGCCTGCTATTAAAATACTGTTACTACAAGTATAAACAAACTGAGGCTGCTTCAGTATTACATTAAACAGTAATGAATGAGGCTTGTTCATAGTAGAAGAAATACAATATACTGAAGTGCATGCCGTTGCCTATGTTCGCATGAAGGAGAGCCACTCCAGCATAAAGGTGCGGATCTTCTCCACACATCGGGTGTCAGAGCCCCAGTGCTCCGGGCCGAAGTGTCCAGTCGCTCACCGCACAGCAAACAGAGAACAGTTAAATTTTTGTTGTTTGATTAACAGCCAGTGTTGGGCAAGTTACTTAGAAATTGTAAAAATTTACCAATTAATCCTTATGTCGGGGTTTTTTGTCAACATATGTTCAGGTTTGGTTATTAGCTATTATAATTAATAAATACGGGGCACCACCCTGGAATCAGGGACCAATAACCAAATATGAGCCAAGTCTGATCAGTCTAAAATGGGGTTTGTCCACCTATAGATGGCAAACAGAGAAGGGTGAATCTGTGCACTGGCTGTGTAACCAACTCTTACTACAACATTATACACAAATAATCACAGGCAACGACTTCTTAAAATTATAATAGGATTTATTCAATTTAAGCGTAGATCAATGATCAATAACTTGAGTAAATCACTATTAACTATTCTAAGAAAAAATGAAATAAAATCAATAAACAAATCACACACAAACATACAACAATCCATCAAGCGCGCGTGCATGTGTGTGTGTGTGAGACAAAGGAGGGGGAGAGACTAAGAGAGGGGGTCGGATCAGACCACATGGGTCGTGCCAGATCCGGTTGTGCTAGAGGCCAGCTGATTTTGGAATCGAGATGGCGGTTCAAACCATGTGATTTCAAGATGGCGGAAAATCACTCTCCCCTGAACTAAAGAAATGGGGACGCACTCTGACGCTAGCCTACTGTGGGTCACAGGTCTGGTTAGCTTGAGAGATCACGTGGTGTGTGCATGTGGGGTCAGTAAGCTGGAGGAGGCGAGAAAGGCACACAGCAAAGCTATATACATACAATATACCACAAACTATCTTACAGCCACCAGAAGTGAACGATTCATTCAGCAGCGGTTGCTGCTTTGGATTAGATAGAATGTGCAATTGTATCTGTTCTCAGACAACAGAAACAAACACCAAAAATCCTAATTACTGTTGAAAACACTCAGCTACAACATTATCAATGAGAGGGACGGTAGTGAACTTGCGTTCAGCAACCGTGTTCCCTGGCTTGATAAAAATACTGATACGTTTTCACACAGTAAGAGGAACAAAGCAGTCGCGGCCCAGTGGGTGGTACCGGACACAAGCAACGTGTGTAGCACGGAAAACACACAGCAATCAAACAAGACGCGGCTGTCTTTCAATATCCCTTGGAGTTTCTTAAAAGAAATTCACCACATGAAGCTTATAAGTTACAATAACAAGGTTATAGAACTATCTGCTGCCCAGACATACTAAAGCCTCTTACGTGTTGCTTTGATAGAGAGTAGTTGCGTCAGTCCTTTTGGGAAGTCCGTTAGAGTTGCTCTCGGCTCAGATCTGAAGATGCCGGTAGGTTCCACAGCACAGATGATTCTTTGGGGGCAGCAACAGGAATCAGTGAGGTTCGACTAAGTTGAGAAGGTAGAGCACAGACGTGATCTTCTCAGTTAAGCACGGAGTTTTATCCGTCTTCTTCTGCAGGAAGGAAACGTTATCTTCTGTAACAGTTTCTTTAAATTCAAAATTGTGTTGGTAACACAAAGAAAAAATAATAGGAGGTAGAAAAAAGAAGAAAACAAAGTTGCTCGTCCGGCGAGTGAAGTCTGTATTCAGGAACAAAGAAAGTTCAGCGCTGAAAGAAAAATACCTCCTGTACTGCTGGTGCAGTTGCAGAAAGGCAGAGTTTGTTTACCTACTTACAGTCCCCTGAGGAACTTGGAATGGCAATGAGGGTTCGGAGGTGTTCGGTTTTATACCTCTGTTGACAAAATGGTTGTACTTCCTGGGATTACTCCGCCCCCTGAAAGCTTTAGCCAATACAAACCTTTGGTTTGGTTTAAAAAGTTAAGAGTTCACAGGTAGGTGTGATTTAACTGACAAGAGCCATCTGGGCTTTCTATTGTTCTGTGACCCCCCTTTGTGTAGTCAGGCCGCATGGGCAGGCTTGTAGGATATCAGAAGGCCTCGTCTTTGTTCTAACAGACTGTGAGGCCCAACACTTAAAAAAAAACAAGTATTACTTAACTTCTTAGTGTGTGATAAAAGTTACTATATTACTTTAACTACCACCCCTCCTCCCCCCAAACAAAGCAGTCTCTCCCACTTTTTAAATCACATTCATGACAGCAGCAAGGAGTGAAGTTACGGTTTTGACAAGACATAACGTCTCTGAACGCCAACGGCTGAAATAACAAAAGCAAGCTAATCACAACTGTTGAACTTTTTTTCTGCACATGCATTTGTAAAGGCAGTAGGGCCTTCAGTATTTTTACAACACATCCAGTGGATAGAAAAGGTCTACACACCCCTGTTAAAATGCCAGGTTCTTATGATGTAAAATAATGAGACAAAGATAAATCATGTCAGAACTTTTTCCACCTTTAATGTGACCTATAATGTGAACAATTCAATTGAAAAACACATTGAAATCTTTGAGGGGGAAAAATTAAAACCCTCAAATAACCTGGTTGCGTAAGTGTGCACACCCTTAGACTAATACTTTGTTGAACCACCTTTTGATTTTATTACAGCAGTCAGTCTTTTTGGGTAGGAGTCTATTAGCATGGCACTTCTTGACGTGGCAATATTTGCCCACTCTTCTTTGCAAAAGCGCTCAAAATCTGTCAGATTGCGAGGACATTGCCTGTGCACAGCCCTCTTCAGATCACCCCACAGATTCAGGTCTGGGCTCTGGCTGGGCCATTCCAAAACATTAATCTTCTTCTGGTGAAGTCATGCTTTTGTGAATTTGGATGTGTGCTTTGGGTCGTTGTCGTGCTGAAAGGTAAACTTCCTCTTCAGCTTTCTAACCGACGCCTGAAGGTTTTGTGCCAAAATTGCCTGGTATTTGGAACTGTTCATAATTCCCTCCACCCTGACTAAGGCCCCAGCTGAAGAAAAACAGCCCCAAAGCATGATGCTGCCACTGTTGGGTCAGATGAACGACCAGGCTGGGCCAGTTAAGCCTGGTCCCCACCTTCACCAACTTAATAAACTCAAAATCAAAAAATACTCCATTAGCTTTCTACGATAGTCAACAACTCTGCAGACAAAAAACTTCTCTGGAGACGGTCAAGAGTCGGTGCAAAAAGAGTTTATTCCAAAACAGGACACCTGGACAGCATCCCAGCCGGCTGGAGGACGAAGTCCCCTCTATGGTCTGCGGACAGCCTTATATACCCATTTTGGGCTGGTGTGCCCCCCTCCTATCTTTATGCAGAGTTTCTTATCTTCTGTTTTTATGCTGTTCACACATGTTGTTTTACCGGTTTTCCAGCTTTCATTCATCCTTCTGTGTTGTTGACTTTCTATATTTTGTTATCTTACAGAATAAGAAACTCAGCATTTACATTCAAACTCAAATGTCACACTTTTTCAGCAGTTATGAGTATATAATTCCACACACAGTTATACTTCTTGAAAAATTACTACAGGAATAACAAGTGTTGTGCTGTGGCTATCATCGATGCTGGGTTCCTTACAGTAATATTGTTGTTATAGTAACTTTTTACTACTTTTCTTGTCACCATCTATGCATCATTTGAAGCTTACTCACTCTGCCAAGCTGAGTCAGCTAGTGCTTCGTCAGCAGGTTCACCAAGTGCGCACGGGCAAGTTCACTTGAAGGTCACACAGGCTCTAGCATCAGTGGTTACAAGTAGACAATCAATCCTTTTAAGCAGTAATTAAACATGTAGTCTTAATATCAGCAGAATGACACCTCGGCAATTCATCATTTTATAACAACAGTGGATATCAGTAGACCCAAGCATGCACTTGTTACAGCAGATTTTGAACATAAACAGTAGATAACAGCTGACCAAGGTATGCATAGTCTAAGTGTCTACGGTCAATGCTCCCACTCAGGGATCTTCACTTTGTTACTGCATTCATGATTACAGCACAGCACTTCTAAGTAGAAGATAAGACACGTTTCGGTAATGTTCAAAGATTAAGAAGTAAGTAAGGATAATTAATAAGCTAATAATTATTAATAAACTAACTACTAATGATTAATGATTAATGCTAATTAAGGGTAATACAATGATTAAAAATAATGCATTAAGAAAGATTACTTACTGATACTGATTAAAGATAATAAAATGATTGATTAAAAATGATGAATTAAGAGTGATTAATGATTACTACTCAAAAATGATAACCTGCCTTTTCCTGATCAAGCTATTTTCACCAAAAACCTCACTTTGTGGAATAAGCTGGTGTCTTTTGTGCTGTGTGCTAAAGACATTCCTACTGTGATGGACAATGTTTATGTAGATTTTGTAACCCAATTTACACTAATTCTGCTTCTACATTTTAACTTTTCTGGTGTTTTTATGTCATCATGCTGTGCTCATTCACTCTGCTCCCAGAGCACACGTGCCTGCTTACACACCTCCGGGCAGTTAGACACAGAGAGGACCACACACACTCAGCTATAGAGTTTCAACATTGTGATCTTAACTATAAAATAACTGGTGACAAGAGCTTTAGAGTTTTGACACTGCGATCCCGACTTTACACTCTAAAATACTTTAAATGATGAACACTGCACTTAATGAAATGATGGCAATACAATTAATGACAACAATTTAGGCTGTAATGTTCTAAATAATTTGTGACCCATCATCACCACCATGCTTCACTGTGGGTATGGTGTTCCTTGGGTGATGTGCAGTGTTGTTTTTGCACAAAATATACCTTTTGGAATTATGGCCTAAATGTTTGACCTTGGTTTCATCTGACCATAACACATTTTCCCACATGCTTTTGGGGGACTTGATGTTTGTTTTTGCAAACTTCAGCCGTGCTTGGATGTTTTTCTTGCCACCCTACCCCATTTATATGAAGAATACGGGAGATAGTTGTCACATGTACCACACAGCCAGTACTTGCCAGAAATTCCTGCAGTTCCTTTAATGTTGCTGTAGGCCTCTTGGAAGCCTCCCTGACTAGTTCTTTTAAATTTTGGAGGGACATCCAGTTCTTGGTAAAGTCACAGCTGTGCCATATTTTCTCCACTTGATGCTTTGGAAATTATTTTGTACCTGTCTCCTGACTTATGTCTTTCAACAATGAGATCTGATGCTTTGAAAGCTCTGTGGACCATGGCTTTTGCTTGGCGATGCAACTAAGAAAATATCAGGAAAGCCCTACTAGAACAGCTGAACTTTGATTAGTCAGTTTAAGTGATGGCAGGTGCAAAATGACTTCTAGTTAACCCGAGTTTGAATGTGATTGGTCAATTCTGAACACAGCCACATCCCCACTTATAAGAGGGTGTGCACACTTATCCAGTCAGGTTACTGTAAGGTTTTCATTTTGCCCCCTCAAAGATTTCAGTTTTTTTTTTCCTATTGAATTGTTATTATAGGTGGAAAAAGTTCTGACATGATTTCTCTCATTATTTTGCATCATAAGAACCTAGCATTTTAACAGGGGTGTATAGACTTTCTATCCACTGTACATTGCTTAATGCCACAAATGTCCTTTGTCCTTGTTGTAATGTACAGGCCTCCCTCGGCAGATAACAGCTTTTATGAAAACTTTGAGCAGCTGCTAAAAGAAAACAATCTTGATAAAGAAATTATTATAATGGGGGATTTTAACATTAACTGGCAGGACAAACTCTCTAGAAAAAAGCTTAAACAAATCACAGACAGGTTTGATTTAACACAAGTTGTCCGTGGGCCAACGAGAATAACTAACTCTACTAAGACTCAAATCTATCTTATATTTACCAATAGACCAGAAAGAATTGTAAAATCGTTCAATATGTTGACAGGTTTATTGGATCATAATTTAACTCTTGTCACCAGGAAACTTACTAAAAAACGCTTTCATTCTTGTACTAGTAATAAAAAAGGCACCAATACAATATCAAAACTTTTTAGACGCAGCTAACCAAATTCAATGGGATGACATTTTACCCTTAGTTGACTCTGACAAAGATAGCCAAACATTTTTAATTACACTTGAGAGAACTATTAAAGAATTCATTCAAAAAATCAAGTACAAACATAACAAAAACACTGTACCTTGGATAAATCCAGACATTATAAAAATCATGAAAGAGCGAGACTTAGCCCTAAAATTAGCAAATAAAACTAAATCAGTGCATGACAGAGGACGTTTCGCCATGTTGAGAAATAAAGTTGTAAGGTCATTAAGAAAAGCAAAGGCTGATTTCTTTATTACTATAATTGAGAAATCTAATGGAAATCCTAAAGTAATATGGAGCCAGCTAAGAAAAATGACAGGTGATCAACCCAATGAACAAAAAACTGTAGAAATTAAAGTAAATGACCGGCTGACAAACAATACTCTAGAGGTAGCAGAGGCTTTTAATCATCATTTTATTGATTCTGTGGCTAACATAGCAAGCTGTTTTACACCTGAGAACGTATTTACTCCGCCAATAGACACAAGTCAATCAGTTTTCAACGTATTTAATATCACAGAACTAGAAGTGTCACAGACCATTAAATCACTCAGACCATCGAGATGCAAAGATATTTTTGATATAGATACGGTGATGCTCAAGGCTTTAAGTACATCAATTACACCCCCCATCACCAAAATTATTAATCTGTCCATTTCTCAAAATTTGTTCCCAAGCATGTGGAAACCAGCTGTTGTTGTTCCAGTTTTTAAAAGTGGAGATCCTCATTCCATGTCAAACTACAGGCCCATAAGTATATTGCCCA